TATATATATATATTACACAGGTCAGGTAACCACCAACTCATGCAAGCAAGTGTATAGACAGCATTTTGAAAGAACACTGTCTTTTTGCTATTACATTTATAAGATTTCTTCAAGGAAAACTAACCTACTTGGAAATGCATTGGCTGATGTGGATTTCTAGCTTTTAACAGTGCTGTTTAATTGCAGCCTCCTTTATATTCAAGCTTTCAGCCTACAGTCACAGGTCTCACCTTTCCACAGCCCGATCCAGGAGGTAGAAGAGGGCCTGAAGCACCACGTGGTTGCCTGTCTTGTGGGGGTGATGAAGTTTGGCTGTGTACAAGGCGATGGAGGCGCCCGAAGGGTCCCTAACACTCTGAAAATACACAGTACTAACAGGTTACATCAGCTGTCAACCTTGTGTGACAAGTAAATCACCATTTCACTGCCAATTCTCATTTCTTGTACTGAAGCGAGACATAGTACCGGGTTAGTTCTCCACTACCCAGCCTGAACCGTAGATGATGGGTATACAGCACAATGGGAAACTGTTGTGTCCTTTTAATCTAAAATAATAGTGTTCATTTTTTCCTTAAAAATATCATGCCTGTATCAAGTTTTACAATGTTTCAGATGTATTTTTCACAGAAGTCAAGGAGGTGGTTTACTGGAGTGTAACAACAAAGCAGCCAAATGGAAGCTCTACAGAAATGAAACAAGAACAGTGACCACAGGGGGGCACTTAAGTTCATATGCTGGTTACTGGCATGCTGCCAACAGGGACTGTCAACAATTTATCAGGAAGAACAATTCTTGTCAATGATGATGCTCCAAGTTCCAGTTTCTTCTCTCTTCCTGAGAGGGAACATATTTATCATGTCAAATATGATCAGCTTAAAGGCAGCTGGTGTCACAGGAACTAGAGGTCTTTATTTGAATGAAACTGCAGACCAAAGATACACCGGAACCGTCCTCTGTAAGCAAAGGAGCCTGTGATCTTGGGTACAGGGGCTAAAAATACCTCAGACAGGATATGAAGCTCACTGCAGAGGCTGGAGAACCCAGACGTCACACAAGAGGATGTCACTGTAGCACGTCAGTGGGGAGGAAGAAGGGAAACACAGGAGAGTGGGAATGTGTGTGCGCACTGGGGGGTGGGATGGGGGGGACGTACCAAAAGGCTAAATTTATCTGGCACAGGAACACTGCTTGGCTTTTAAGATTAGTCAATTATTAACTTGCACGCCCCCAAAGGACCCCCATAATTCCTTATTATGAGAGCTAGCTCTCAGATGCAACTGAAAAATGAGCTCATTATATTAGCAAGTTTGCAATCTTTGAAGTGTAGATTATCCGCAAGCCAATCTACCTTCCTGACAAGCTGGAAAGAAAAACAGCCACAGCAAAACAAGTGTGGCATAGAACCTGAGCTGTTCTAATCACTACAAAACTGATGCACGTCTAACTCCATATAAAGAGAGTTGTGATGAAATCACCAAAAGCATGGTGGGAGTATCGCAAGAAAATTACCCACAAAAGAAAAAGGCTGGTGTTATTCTATAGTTTTGTCATCAACAAAACCAGGAAGAGACCAAAACCAACAATGCCTGCCTCAGTGCTTTTTGACTTGCCCAGCCTGTCTGTGGCACTCAAGCACACTGGTTCCTCTTAAAGATGTAAATTTAAAAAGAAAATCACAAAAAGCATTTTTTTTTTTTTTTTTACCAAAACGTTACACAAACAAGAGTGAATCACACATTTTTGAGAACTATTTTCAACTGTGGATTCACACACATTTGGTTGTTTAGTGTAGTAATGATGTGTTCTGGTCAGCTCCATGGGACAGAGAAAGAAGATCAGCAGGATTAATTCAGTGTTGGCTTTGGTCTTTCATTTGATTTCTCTAGAATAAAGACATCATGCAAGATCACCTGTCTTTTGCTTTTATTGCGTAATATGACAATAGATAGAACTTTTTCCTTTAAAGGATGCCAAATATAGAGGATATTTAAAGGACACTCTTACCAACACAGTAAACTTTCCACTGAGCAGCTCTGAGCGCAGAGGTTCCTCCTGAGGCTGAAGTCTGACAATTCCTTCTTTAAGACGCGTTTCCTGAAGAAAACAGAAGAAATCACAGCAGGTGAAGTCAGGCTCTGGAGTTACTGTAACAGGCAGTCGCTCTGAGGTGAATTCCTCTCTGTGAACAATAGAGAATTAAATCAAATCAAATTTTATTTGTATAGCGCCAAATCACAACAAAAGTCATCTCAGGACACTTTACAAAGTAAGGTCTAGACCTTACTGGTATCAATATTATTACATGGGGAAAACCCAACAAATCCCCCTTGAGCAAGCACTTGGCGACAGTGGGGAGGAAAAACTCCCTTTAATGGAAGAAACCTCCGACAGACCCCGGCTCTTGGTGGGCGGCCTTCTGCCTCGACCGGTTGGGGTGAGTGGATAGAGGAGAGACAAAAGAAGAAAAGCAACAAGACACAACAATCAAACACTGATCAGGTCGATGTGGCTGGTGACTGCTCATCAGAGATGTAGAGCTCCAGGGCCAGGGCAACCTGCAGAAAGGTACAGGGAGAGAGAGAG